TTTTTTTTTTTTTCTTGCAATAATTAAATATGAATTCAAGGTTGGTCTGACATACTTTTGTTAAAGTTGCAGTAGGCTGAACAAATATATCCGGAACCAAAAGCTGTCAAGTTATATCAAATGAAATAAAATATTTCCTACTGACATCAACGGCAAAAAGCACATATACTAAAAAAAATCTGAAATAGTTATCAATTCAAAGTTAAAACTAGATATTTAGTTCATTACCTGGCCACTTTTATAAGTCTACAGCAGAAGAGAATCACTGGACAACTCAATGAAGTCCAAAACTAAACAAAGAAAGCAAAAAAGTTTTAATTATGCTACATATAAAAACTGCTTTTTCATTAAATATTGTGAGAAATTAATGTTAAGTGCTTCTGGAGATGACGAGATAAAGATGAGGACAATTCCATGGATGTTTTAAAACTTATTTACTTTTTTGATTTATAGATAATCTATCCATAGTTAATGGTCTAACCATTGAATTTTCTCCTACAAACTACCAAAACTAAACACTACCCAGCAGTTTAAATAACATATGAAAAAAGTTGCATCTATTTAACAGTGGCAGAACTCACAGGACAGAGGCAGTAAAATATAAAAAAAGACAAGAGTTAAAAATCCTACTGCAAGAATATAAACTGTAATAAAAGAGAAGACATTAAAACCAGCAGCTAGTTAGGTGCCAGGACATAATAGAACCCATAAGGACAGGCAAAGAATGATGCTAAGTTAGGGAGAAAGAGTCTGTTTTCAGAGAACTTCCTGACAGACACCACAACAAAGTAACATGAACGGTGACTGTGTGGTCCCCTTCTCGTAAATAAATCAGGCGTCAAATGTTGATCTGCAGTTAATAAGAGGCCTAAGCCTTCTCCAAGGATTTGTAGTATTCTGTCAGCACAGTCCAAGCCTTGGGAGCCATGAAGCCTTCCGGCGGGTTCTGTCCTTCTCGAGCCAGCTTGCGCATGCGGGTCCCCGATATAAATTCAAAGTCTTCATGGCTGAGAGAGTAGGAGTGGGGGTAAGGGGGAGAGGGGTAAGGGGGAGAGGAGCAAGGGGAGGGGAAGGAAAAGAACATATTTTAAAAGCAGGAAAAGTTGCTCATATTCATTTTCCTTTCTTGAGACTTTATACATTTCTTCTTGGGAGTATAATGCCGTACAGTAACTGGCATTTCCAGACATTTGGCCAGCTATTCCAGTAAATCTCTAGAATATAAACCCTCTACAATATTCAGCTTAGGTAGCTCCTGAGGCTTAGCAGCATGGTCCAACTGATCTCCTGTGAACTGAACCAAGTTTGTGCTTCCATCTAGCCTGGCTTGCTCTCTATAAGGAAAAAGGCAACTGCTCAGAGACAACCATCTCCTCCACCTCTTACCTCAGCCCTCTGGCAAGAGCAGCCATCCTATTTTGCCTCTCACCCTGCCATGGCAGCAGCCCAGCCCTATGCACTGGCTGAAGGTTCCAGTGCTGGTTGAAGAAGGCAATTTCAGTGCGACTAGAGAATGTGAAAAAAACCCACTGCACAAAGTCTTAGTGAAGGACAGTTTGCAGAACAGAGAAAGTAAAAGCCTCAGAGACTAGAAGCAAGCTCCACAGCTGGGCCATTGCAAGCCACTGAGCAGGCATATACATGAGTAGCAGTAATGCAGCACATACAGTTCAAAATAAAGAAAAAAGCAGGGGAATAAGAGAAATACCTTTCCCTAAAGATGTTTTTCCCTAAGAAACAGAATTCAGTTGGACAAATGCACAAATTAACTCCGATCAGGATTGTATATCATTGTTAACATGGCAATCTAAATTAATATTAACTTCTCAGGTATGTGGTCATAAGCAGCAAAAGCTCTACTAATTAAACTTACTCCTCACAGGACTGAAACAGTAAAGGCAAGACAAGAATGACAGAGTTCTACCAAATGCTCCAAAGGAAAAGTTATTTATTCTTAAATTAAATATGGAATTTTACTTATGTCATTTGTTCAATTTGTAAAATGTATGCATTACTCATTCCTTACTTGTCTGTTTAAAATAAAAAGTATTGATCTCAGATGCATGTGCCTAAGACAGAAACAAGAGCCAAGTGTGGCAGAACTTGGCTTTAAGTGCTGAGCTATGCTCAGTAGGGTATGGAAGTTAGCAAGATGCAGAAAGCATTCCACAGTTCCCTTTCACATAACCACTAACCCCATAACTTTTTTATTTGGATTGTATATATTTACACAGCAGCACTGCCATACACACTCTTTTCTCATTGCTCTCAATTTGAGACTGTGGGCTCCTGAAGTGTCACAAGGAAACAAACTCTACTGTGATTCAATTCTGCAAAATATAAATTACAGAAAAATGTAAACTTAAAGTTGATGCACGTCCATGGGAGAAAAAGCTATGTCACTGCTATTTATAATGCCTGAAAACTTTGTTCCTTAGCAGAGAGATGCCCACTGTTCAGTAACAGTACTTGAAGGTAATTCGTGTCTTTGCAAAGAACTATTTCTATAAAATATATGTTGGGAAGTGATAAGCCTGGTTAATTCTAGTGAAAAAATATTAAGTCTTCAGATGATCAGGAAGAGAAGAGTAAAGCAAGTGGTATAAAGTTTCTCCCTAATGTAGTAGCAACACTAAAGTTCAAGCATTAAAAAAAAAAAAAAAAAAGTTAGCTACTTTATCCCTTCCTTGCCTGTTAAATGTTCAGAAAAACACTCAACTCCCTACTGTGCCCTGCAAGTGAAACAAAGGTACTAAACCAATAAATTTAGATATACCATATAAGTTTGCTTCAGTAGGACCCCCAATTCCTTTTGTTTCTTCTTATCCCTAGTTGCATAAAAAGCAGCTTTAGGAACTGAAGATATCAAGAGAGAAACACAAAAAGAAGCAAAGTAGATCTATAGAAACTATAAGAAAAGGAAATAAAAACATGAGCAAGGATAATTTAAGAAATATACTACATTCAGCATTTCATAACATTTCTAGAAACTTTTAAAAAATACTTTATTAAAAAGTAAAAAAGTAATAATGATGCCCTCTCATTATCCCAAACTTGTCTTTTTAATGAGTTTTTCTTTTTTAAAAAAAATTACCTTAATTAGTAATCACTGAAGTGACTCAAATGGACCTTTGGCAATATACACTGTATGTTGAAATTTCAACACAGTAAATTTTGCCTTTTGAAAAATTACTGTATTTGTAATTTTATTGTTTCCACTTTAACATCCACTTTCACATCTAAAACAGAGTATCTGAATAACCACTCAATACTCACTATCTTTATTAATGGTAAAAAAATCAAACCTCTTGAGTATCAGAAACTGGTATTTCCACTAAGCAGAAATGCTTTATCAGTCCCGGCTCTGTGGTGGGATGTGAACCACGAGCATTTTGAAATAAAATACATCAGTATGAGTAATTTGCTTTTGTGGAAAAAGAAACCAGAAAGAAGAGCCAAGTAATTTTGTTCATAGTGAATTTTGAGGAGATTAGGAGTTACTCTACATAAAATGGATTTGAGTGGAACATGAGAGGGGGAAACATTTGACCATTAAAGCTGCTAGGAAATATAAATGCCAAAGCCATCCAAATTCCATTCTCAAGCGAGATTTAGAATGACTCTCAATGAAACTTTACCCAAGCCTTTTCAGAGCATGGGACTTAAGTAATTTTGAAAATTTTATTCAGTGGCTGCTGGAATTAGTTTTCTTTGAGCCACATAATATGTTAGCAAATGCTAGTAAAAGGTCAAATCAATGCTGTAATCAATTGAGTTTGACTAATATTGACGTAATATTTGTCACCAATGCAATTAAAAATACTCTCCAAAAGAAAGATGAAAAAAGGCAGAAATAAATCCACAATAAAAACTTATCAACAGAAAACCAGTCTTAAAACATAGTACATTGAGACTGGCATTTGCTCCATGGCATAGCATCCTAGAACCCTGTTACACTCAGAGTGGAAAAAGCCTTACATACACACGCTGTGAAATCTCCTTACTTGTGGAAGACAGGGCTAGGCAGACAGAAAACACAACTTCGCTGTGCTCTCATACATCTAGCTCAAGGAGAAAAGGAATCTTATGCTTCAGATTGAGCCTTCCTTCCACACACAGAGCTATATGTAAATACAGGCACCCACAGGTGCACAAGATAATATTTTGTATTTGGAAAGCAGTGATATTATTCAGAATAACATAGGACAAAATTTGTGCTTTTAAATAATATTCAAACTATTCACAGTAACTCAGCATCACACTCAAAGGACACTACAAACCATGCACAGATGATTAAGAATTCATACAGCAGTTATCTCATTTATTTCATTTACCAAGACTATTGTTTTAATCTGTTAAATTGATTTCCCTTGTTTTGTGCATTCAGTAGTTATTTTTCACCACAGTACCACAAAAGCCCCCAGCGACAATGACATCTCTTTACAGTTTATTATGAGCTCAAACTCATTAAGAGCAGTGTGTAAGGCTAAGACTTCAAAGACCTTACAGTTCTTGTGACAAAACAAAGAATGTAACACCAGTTTGCAAGTGGGAAATGACAGCATGAAGGTGCCTGTAGTCCTACAGGAAACCTCTGCTGTATCTCTGAGGTGTCAAAATACAGTACTTCAATACAGCTACTGAGGAGAGTATTTTTGCCACTTCAACAATTACCCCCTATAGGTTTAATCTAAGTATAAAAAATACTATGTAATTGATTTTTCACTTGGGAACACTAAAGATCAGTCATAATCTTGGGAATCCCAACCTTCTGTTAGGGTATCTGGCACTGTGCAAATTACTTTCTTAGCATTTCCGTTCTCTCTGCTGCTCTCAAGGTCTTAATAAATTACTCTTAAATACAAGACTCATGATAAAAGTACAGACCATTAGTTCTTAGTTTTGCCAATTCATAAAAATGTCTTTTGGAAACAAATGCATGGAAATAATAACATCACTTATGCACCCTGGTCTGGCTTCATAACAACTGCCATGTTCTACTGTGCTAGCGAACTTTAGATCCTATTAATTCCTAGGACAATTCACAGCCTCATTATCTGGGGTTCAGTCCTTTAACAATTCTTCTCTAACTTCACATTTCCTAAGTAGGATCTGTCATGAGGTCAAATCTAATCTTATAACCCTTTTCAGAAAGATTTTCCACTGAATTTCAATTTACCTTTGCAGCATCAAGTCATGACTTACACCATAACTCCTACAGGAACAGAAGATTGTCCCTTAGAATAACAAAATAACAAACAAAAGATTGTCCCCAAGTCTTTTTATATCAGTCTATGCTATACCTTAGGAATGACCCAGGATGCTGAATGAACCACTTAGCATCAGTTAGGCTGAAAACTTAACTGGCCATGAGCAAACTCTTCATGAAATCAGAACATAAGAATGTGATTAATATCAACATATTAACGTTGATTAAATTAAATTAAAGCAAATCTTTCACCTGGTGTGAATAAAATGTCTTTCTGAGCGGCAGGAGGGTTTAAATCTTCTGAGCTGCTGCACTGTTTCAATGTATCCTAAATTACGTACTAATGTCAACTGAGAAACCATATTTCACATAGCTGAATTAAGGAGGACAGTCAAGCTTGCTTTTCTCAGCCTCTTACTATCACTTTAAAAAACAGGTATCACACCAAATAAATCTGGGAACAGTATATACTTAGTTGGAACAGCTCTGCTGTATGTATGACTTGATAGTATTAAAGCAGTCATAACAACCACATTAAAGGTCCTGGGAATAAATTATATAAAGTTAAAATCTCTCCTCTTCACGGATACTCATGCTTCATTCACATTTTACAGAAAGTGTGAACAGTCTGCCCCAGTAACCTTACTTAAGGGTTTCTTTTAGCCAAAATGATCTCATCAGTTCTCTTTCAGAAAAAAAAAAATTTAAAAAAATCAATTTTTTACAGACACTGCTGTGGTTTTTTTAATTGCCAGACTAATTTCCTTTCTTAATTGAGTTTTTTCTCAGCAGTTGTCTGTGGCTGCATTTTATAGGGCTGATCTTCTGTAAAGAATTGGGAATCTCTGCTCACTCAAACAACTACTATAATTAAGCCACCAATCCCAAATTACACTTGTCTGTGGTAACTGTTTGAGAGGCATTTTTGGCTGAAGAAACACACTAACTGTTTTTCTGAAGGTATTTCAGCATTGGGGTTTTTTGGGGAGTAGTGGTGTTTTTTGTTGGTTGTTTTTTCTTTACACTTCAGTCTAATAGTGGTTTACAGATCAGACATTCATCTGGAATTTCTCTAAAATTCTTCCTATAAAATTTTCCAAAACATGTTTGGACATATTCAAGTATTGACCAAAAATTCTATGAAATCTAAAAGGGTAAAAACTATGATAAGCAAAGGACTGTACAAATATTTATACTAGTTTCTATATGTATTATTTCTTCAGAATTCTATGCAAGTAGAAATGCTCAAGCTTCCCATAGAAACTTAGATTAGGCTTGCTACCTGACTTTAGCAACGATAAAAAGAGGAATTTTTTAAATTATCCTTGTTTTGACCAAAGAGAAAATAAAATTAAGTTAGCTCTACCTATGCTGCTATACATTGCTTCAAATGCATTCCTCAAATCTCTTTCCTAAATCTTAGTTTCAGATACATCTGTTTCAAAAATATGTTTTAAGACTGCAGTTCCATGAGGTGCTAAGCCTAGTTTTAGAATGTCCAAGAAGCAAATTGAAAATTGTGGTGGCTTCATGAGGTAAAATACAAATATAGTCTTAAGTCACTGTTTGTTCACATGTTTTAACATTTGAAAGGGTAACTTTAGTCAAACAATTTATACAAGTTAAACTTTGTGCACCACTCTGCAACAACAATTGCTGTGCAGCTAGTATAAAGGCTTTCACACACAATGCTCCATGATTACCCCTGAATGCAATCAGGATATCCTGGTTTCCTTATAAACAGGGGTACATGGAGATACACCGGCTGACAAGTTACTTCAGCTCCAACAGCACCACAGCAGCTTAACGTTGTTAACCAGCAGTGCGAGGCCCTGACACTCAAAGTTAACAGTCGTGTTCTTCAGACTGTTCCCAAGCAGAAACACGGGGTCTATTGAAACTTCAAGGGCAGCCCATCTTCTGGAGGATACTAATGGAAGCGAGAAACAAACTTCTATATCAACTACATAAAACTGCACTTGCATGGACACCTTTGGGAGCTCAAGCCCGAAAGAAAAATGACCTCTTAGAATCACAGGCAGCAGACCTGAGAAGGAAGAGCCTGTGTTACTAAACTGGAGGAAGGACAGTGGTAGGCTTTTTGATGCTTCCCAGGCTTGCCATCAGGTCATGAGCAGCTTAGTCACAGCAAGTCACACAGTTGCCCAGTATCCTATGGTACATAGCTGAACAGTACCGAGTCAGCATGTGAAAACCTACCTCCACAGGAATACGTAGAAAGCTGTCAGCGAGTGTTACATCTTTCTTATAAAAACTGAGCATTAATGTTTAGAGATGTCACAAGCAAAGCAACTTTCTGCCATTGCTAATGCTGCAGCCCCAACATGTCAGACATCTTTCTGGCAGTTGGATCAAACTTATGGTAAACTCTCATGACGAGCCAAAGATTCACCCCCCATTGCCCCCATGGTTTGGGATTGCCTTCAGAAGCAGAAAAATACTTCACCAACATCAGTAAAGAGCCCAACTGCAATAATCTTTGCATGTCTTTGCTGCCAAGACAGGTGTGCCAAACTAGAGAGACACCCAAGACAGCAGATGGTGTCCATTACAACTTCTCACAAGCACCCTCCCAGACAGAGGAGTCTAGGAGGCCTAAAAGAATAGAAGAGATGATCACATGGGCGGAGAATAACTACTTCCAGCAGCTAAGGCACACAGCTCAGCTACAGCTCAGTCCAAGGAAAACCCACTTGACATAACCTTCCATGCAGCCATTAGTGATGTAAATGCTTGAGGGGCCTAGGTGGCTGTCAAGTCTCCAAGCCTCAAAGAACTGAGAAAGGTACAATAGAAATCAAGTCACCCATTTGCAAAACAAGCCAGAGCAATGCTCCGAATGCATACAGCCCTCTTCCTCACATTTTCATGCTGTGTTTTTCACCAGGTAAGTGGTGAGCTCAGTAAAGATTTCCATGAACATCACTATGTCACACCCAAGTGTTTTCCACCAGTACTGATCCTTTCATATTTCCAGACAATCCTCTATTCCCTGCCATCCTCCTTAGAGAGTCAAACACCACGTGGTCCAGAAGTATTACACAGACTACCCTGAAATGCAGCCAGCTGTACCCACCCAAGCCCTAACTTTGTCTGCACCCTACCACAGTGTTCTGTCTATGGCAAGTAGCAGCAACAATGACTCTCTGCGTGTGTCCACATTGCCATCTAGAGGATTCCTGCCACGCTCCAGTCTACCCTGTAGTTTACAAACAGTATCTATGGAAGGACAGGACAACTGGTCTTACACTCTGACAGCAGCAGGGCAAAACTGCACACTAATAGCAGCATGGCCTTTTTTCCAAGGCAGCGACAGAAACAGGGAAAAAAAAAATGCCTGAAACCAAAGGGCATTTCTGGCCTTTCACATTGTTACTCCTCTTCTACACCAACTTACTAAGACATGAGAAACCAGTGTAACTTTTTCACTATAATCTTTGTGTATTTATCTTATAAAACTTGGTGAATTACTTGGACAAACAGGACAAATACCCATAGTATCTACTACAACAGCCTTTGGAACCTTATGTTATAATGTACACAGGTTTGCATAAAACTAGCAATATTTACATCACAGTCCAGCTGCTGTGCACAGTGACGAGGACTTCTAGATGCATCTCAACTAATGAAAGGCACAAAGGCAGTGAAGTGTTCAATAGCTAGCTAAGAGGTAACAATTTTAGGAAGAGACGTTCATGTCATATATGCTATAAGTATCCTTCCTTCTGATTTCATTCCTCCTAATGAACATAGCATGTGTCAGGGCATAGGTCTGATCAGATGCTACTGTCCATACCTTTACTTGAGAAAAAAAACCTGCTGAAGTGCCATCCAAAGAGAAGCTTCACAGCACTAAAGAGAACTCACGCTGGAATGCTGCCTATACAGGAGGGAGGAGGCAGGAAGAGCAACATCAGCAAACTACAACTGCTAAATAAGCCTCCCTGATTAGCTTCAATTTTAAAACATCTGCACTGTAGGAAATTATCAAATTTCTAAACACATATGGATGTTGTAGAGTAACACACAGTGAAACTATTTTAATTCTTGTCAGGTTTCAACAGATTTGCTTTTATCATGCTGCTTATGATTCCAAACAACAAAACATACCATAAAGTTATATCTAGTTATGTAAGAGACAATAACACTTCGTGGCTTTTAAAAATAAAAGCAGACTAATTCAGGTGCTTGGAATTTACTGCTGAACTATAGAGCAGCTGCATAACTTACAATCAAGGTTAAGCTAACACATTATCTACTAATAAACTTAATTCATGGTAAGAAAGACACAAGCTGCTGAAAAAAACTTATTGGTTGATTGTCACAAGCCACAGTGACATCCTTGGAGACTTTTATACTTGGTGTAACTGCAACATAAGCAGCTAAAGAACAAGAAATAAGAGATGTGTTCAGTTTTACACATCAGTCTATTCCATGCTGAGTTCATGCTTTCAAAGACGAACTGTGTTGTACAGACATACTTGTTCAGTGAGAAGCAGTAGGAAATAACATATAAAAATATAAGGGGTTTTTTAGAAAAACATCTTGCTCGACAGTTTGTATTTCAGTACTAACTTCAACTGTAGTTTGATGTAAAACAAAAGGACAGTTCAATAATCTGAATAAGGAGGTTTAAACTAAAAAAACTAAAAAGACAAGTTACATTCTCAGTCTCACTCATGCACACCATAGCAACACATACAGTGAGTTCTGGACTCCACTATGTCACATGAGTGAAAAACAAAATTGGAACATGCAGAAGGTGAAACTACCTGTCCTGTAACTGAATTTAAAAAAAAAAAAAAACAAAAAAAAAAATCAACCAAACAAACAAAAAAACCCAAACAAACAAAACACTTAAAAACCCCAGCTGAAAACCCTGGCATATACAACAGACTTAGGGCATCATTTTGCATTACTGTTAAACAAAGCAAATAGTTATTTTTCACCCTCTTTTGTCCACTATCTTCTCCCTGCTGCACTCTCGCTCATTGTTTCTCTTCCCTCATATCTGATGCATACCTGACACCTGAGAAGCGTATTCAGAAAGATAAACCAGCAGAAAGCTAGTCTTACTATTATGATAAATAGTAATATTTTTCTGTGGATTTAGCAATCTGTGCCAACATGTTCCAGAACTAGAGAAACTCCAGTACCTGGGAGGAAAATGGAAGTTTCCAGTAGCAGCTAAACTTGGATCAAGATACTTGTGCTGTGAAACTGCACCTAAATCATGCTGAAGTCAAGTGGCATTTGTGATCTAAACCCACATCTAAACACTGCCATCTTTGAGCAATATGAATTAAAAACTTTTTCATTTTATGTGAATGGGGGGTTAAAAGGCAGCCATTGCTCAAAAAGTGTTAAAATAAAACTACAACTTACTGATCAGAGTCATAATAATCCATGCACTTAATTTTCTTATTATAAGCTGCAACTCGGAAGGGTACAATTTCCAGAGCTCGAAGGCCTGGAGCCATTGTCAACACTTTGGCACCATGGGTTGGTTCATACAGATCTTTCCCAGTGTCAGGGTGTGGCATCCCTGCTGGATCTCGCCCTACAATGTAGAAGTTAGCTCCTGCAACCATCCGTGATCTACAGTGCCACTGAACCTAGAAGAGAGACAGGGAAAAACAGTAAACGGAAGAAAACAGTCAAAATACGATCCTTAAAACATGCATGCATTGTATAATTACCACTTTGTCCCTAATCAGACATGATTTTTACCATGGAGACACATCAAAACAATAAATTATGTGAATCACCACCAAACTTATAGCTAAGACATACTATTCCTCTGCTTCACTGGCATGTTAGGATACTTTAAAAGTTGCTCTAGCATAGTGTTTGGAAAAGTATAATCAGGGCAAGAAAGATGGAGCTCATCCATTTCTTAGCTCAGTCCTTCCTGATGTTGTCATTCTCCATCCCTTTCCTTTCATATAAAAAGATTAACGCAAAAGCAACTGCTTTGGTAAGCTTAGTGGGATCTAGCCATATATTGCTCTATTTTAATCACAGCAATTTCTTTAAAAAGACAACCTGACCAATAAATAGCTGCCAAACATTGGAAGACAGACAAGACAGGCTACTTAAACATAGTGTTCAAGAGTGATCTAATCAACCTATCTACACATTAAAAAAGAAAAACTACCCATGCTCAACATTTTCACCTGGTGCATGCAGCAAGGATGTTGTTCAAGGCAGGACTTTAACACTCAGTCTGTGCCGATACTAAGACCCAAAGGACACAAACCAGGTACTTACTGCATGTGAATGCTTGGAATATGCTTTCAGACCACTAAGACTGCCTATTTATGCCACAAGCTTCCAAGATGAAAACTGATAATACAACTCTACCTTTGGTAAATATTTAGTCACCTTTCCCCAATCATTTTGAAATAATTTTATTCAAACACATTTATATGAACTGGGGAGGAACCAGTGTCAAAATCAGAAACTTTAGCTTTACTGAATTTTTGCTTGGATGTACCAACTGCCTTCCACTTTATATTTAAAGTATTGTCAATATTGACAATCAGTTTTCCCACATTACTTCGCTGCACATTTAAAAATGAGTGGCTTAATAAATAACAGCCTGATTTTTACTTTTTTCCTTAAAGGTCAGTTACTACTGAAAAAAAATAAAAAAAACTTCAAAGGAAATTCTGCGTACAACCTTTTCAATTGTCCACACCCTTGTAAGCAAAGAAATGCTTTCAAAATAGTTAGAAATGCATCTCTTACTAAATACAGTGAAAGGATTTTTTTCCTCCCAAAGACTGTTTTCAGTCTCCCTAGACTGTTAGATATGTTACTCTTATGACAGTTTTTAGACTTAGTGTGTTATAGGACTGTTGGTAAATTTTCTTAATTCATTTTTATATGTAATATTTCCAATAGAAAATGTAACTGTCTAGTATAGGCAAAATAGAATAACTATTACATTACATAACAAAGACACACCAATTCAGGAAATGTCAATATGTTATCATACTGGGAAGTATTCCTCTAAAAGAATTCTCATACCATCTATACAGCTTAGTATCTACCAAATGATACTTAGAGAACTGAGTTTAAAAAAAACAGCAAGTAAGACCTACCCAGTAACTACATAGTGTAAAATAGCTTCACAAGTGGAACAGTAATAAACATCTGCCAAGCACTAAAGGAAAAAAAAAAAAAAAAAAAGGGAGGCAGGAGGGAAAAAACCCCACAAATCATAAGACAAAAGTTGCTGCCACTACCTTGTAGTAAATGGACAATGTGATGGATACATTTTCCTTCCATTACAAAAAAACCCCCTGTGTCTGCCTAATCTTTGCATAACAAAATCACAGTGTTTCATGTTTTAGTCACTGTGCATGCTCTTCTGTATTAACAAGCCTTAGGCAAGAAGTTCAAAAGTGATTTCTCAAAGTAGTAACTAACTGTTAGTTCTACATTAGTTTTATGACTAATCGTTACAGAAAGCATTCAAGGAGGAAGTTTTGCACTCAATATGCACAGAGTTCTGTAAATCAGTAGTCAGGTAATGAAATTAGGAACCAGTCATGACTTATAAGGGTACCATTGGTATCAGTTTTCATCTTGACCACAGCCAGACATTACACATGACGGATACCACTGCTATTCAAGTGTACAGGGTGCAACGGAAGCATCTGGATGCTGACAGCTATGCTAGCTATTCATGTTATGAGCACAGAGTGGGCCATACACATGGAATTCCAGCATACCACAGCAGCTAGCAGCATATTTTCTAGCATAGTTAAGAAATATAAGTTTCATGTTGTCATTTGGGTAACAGCAAGTAAGAACTCTATTTTGAATAAGTGAAGCTATTTGACTAAGAATTTAGAACAATGTAAACCACATGTTTGAGACAGAACACTAGCAGCTCTTGTCCCATTTCTATACATGCACCCTACTTCAAAACATATTTACTTTCCAAAGTAGGTGAATGTATTTCATTTTGATACAGAATTTTCTCTTACAGAACTGTTTGTTTTCTTCCGAGGTAATTACTAGGAATGTTAAAAATACAAAAATGCTAAATTGATGCTTATGAAACATGTCCATTAAAAATCTCTGGAAGGCCACATCCATCCTGTAGATAATCATACTAACCACTGCTTGTTGTTCTATAAAGCCCTTGTGCTACAGAAACAAATCTGGTACCAATGTCTTGTAAATGACCTTTGGAAAATGATTAAAAGAAGAGCCTCTTTTATTACTTGGCTACAAACATTATTGTCCAGGCTCTGAGGTCCCTGGAAATGCCATAGAGGTTAGGAGAAAACTTATTCTGTTCAGAACAAGCATTGTGGATTTTGTTGCTCTTCATATGCTCATGAACAAAAGACTGAAGTACAAGATTTCTGTTAATTCTCACAAAAGGTCTTTGGGGAACAGTACAAAATTCCCTACAGTAACCCACTTACATGCTGCAACCAGATCTGAGCTACAGTTTTTTCTCTGGACTGAAAAGGAAGCGCAAGCTCTACTTGATCAGTCAACTGGCCAACAGAAAATAAGCGACACCTGTCTGATTTAATTCCACTGGTGAGATCTCCTATCTATCAAAAAGCTGCCACAGAGTTAGCCTCTTGAGCCTGGTCAGAATTTGAACTTCCTGTGATTCATGAAGGGGGAAAAAGAAAAAAAAAAGAAAAAGAAATAATGAGATGATGAACAAATATCCCCTAAAGGAATTGCCCTCAAATGAGAGCATTTATTCTCTCTGCTGCTTCCCACAAAACTCTAGGGATTCCAACCCAAGACCTGGCTTCTAAATAAAGTGTTGCCAAAGAATTATTTCATACAAAAGCCTTGAAACAATTCTCTCTGAATTGAGTTTGCAAAAAAATAAATAAAGCAAGCCTTTTTTTTTTTTATTCTAATTTGTGTATAGCCTTCCAACATACAAATTTTTTGCTTAACAGACATAAAACTTAAGTATTTAACATTCAGGGGAACTATTTGGTATGTTAACAGATCTTAAAATTCCTTTTGAAAAAGAGTGTAAAAAAGGAGGAAGGATTAATTCATTATCATACCCTCATAACTATAAAGAAAGCACAAAAAACAAAATATTGTCTCCCACCATTTCCAGAAAAATCCTCCAGTATAGAAGTTTCTTCATAGAAGAATGCTTTGGTTGATGACAGAGGGAGCCTTTACAGTCTAGTTCCCCAAGGAAAATTGGTCTCCTCTCTCCATTAAAAAAAACCACAATGCACAAACATCAGGCATAGCACGAAATGCTTTAGTGCACTACCAAAGGGTTTTTGTTCTGTTTTAAACTCTTGATGTATTTACCTCAGTTGGTCCAGCATACATCATGGGGGAAGGGAATATAGCCACCACTGTAGTTTCTGGATTCAAGATTCCCTCCTCCAGTACTGCAGCATGTTGCTTCATGCGCCACATGAGGGGAACATCATCCTCTTTTGTCCAGCCTCCAAGTGGATGCAAGAGTAAAACTGGGCGCCGGTAGCCACGTTCCAGAAGCTGTTTATGAGTATCCTGCATTAAAAGGGCATGCCCGTTGTGCACCGGGTTGCGTAATTGGAACGCAAAGACAGCGTCTATGCGGAAAAAAACAGACAAAAGATATAAGGAAAGCAAGTTATTTTATCAGGAGTCATACAGTACATTCTTTCCTCTTTACTCTATTAAACAAGTATAATAGCAGTATTCACAGGTCATTAAAGGATTAAGAATTATTATAACATCATTATAATCAATAAGAAAAACTAATAAAAACCAATCACACAAAAAAAAGCATAAATTAGTTTCTTTCATTTTTTATATTTCTGCAGAATTACTCTAGTTTCTCCAATAGCTATAATCTCTTTGTATTTTTCACTTGCATGAGCATATAATAAAGTAATATTCTAAGAGGAAATCAAACTATGCTACCTGTTTTAAAGGCTCAATGTACCATCATGAGAACAAATGGACATGTTTGCAATAAAACAAATAAAAGGGGATTTAATGTACCTTAATAAGTTTCCTTCACCTAAACAGCTTAGTAGAGTTCACACACAGTAAGAACAAGGCAAGGCTAACTGCTATTCCAAAGTATTACAAACTCATTGACAAAAAAGCCCAATACAGCCAGGATTTTTCCCTTCTGCAAATTAAGATGAACTAAGGTACCCTGCAAGACAGCAAAATCACTAATAAGGAACCCATGAAATCTAGAGAACAGGGTTTTTCAGGTATCAAATATATTTATTTAGGGGCTAGCTAAAACAAAGACTGGTATCTCAAACCTGCAGATCCTGGAAACACTGACCACAGTGAAAAAACGCAGGATCTTAGGACTAATCTCGGTTTGCATTCTTGATGTTAATCTCTTCCCTTACACTTAGAAGAAGTTCTTCGCAGCTGCCTGCCAGTCACTGCAATAATGAAGGCAGTATGCTTGACTGTTTTCTGCTTTATGACATTACTCAGCCTCTTATTTATCTCCCTAACACAACTGCTTCAGTGAGAAAAACTGTTTCGTTTCTTCTGCACTATAAACTTAGCAATTAGCTCACAATTTTTAACTGCGATACGTTCTACTCTGCACCGCTCTACTTGCATTTTGCTCCCCAAAAGCAGCATGGAACAGACTTAAAAACAGAAGAGCATGAAAGCTCAGCACTCAACCCTATCTCTATAATTTTAGGCAAACCTGATAATTTTAAAATCATATTTTACCACATTTTAACATTATCTTTTTTTTGCATTAGTAACATGACTAATGTGCACGGAAAGTTAAAATTCAGAACTTCAGGTGTTACCAGCTTCTCTTTGTGTATTTAGGCAATGCAATGCCCAAGACCATAAAAATTAATTCCAGTAAAAGTCAAAGAATGACACTTAAAAGAGCATTCAAAATCTTCACCCTTGAAACAATGCTAGCCCCTGTGGTATTGAGGCAGCAAGTGTTTGGATAAATCTTTGCAGGAAGAAACAGAACAAGGAAAATTTACTTACCGGCATTCATTTCCTTGAATTTCTGCCTTAGTTCAGCTGGAGTGAGACGGTATTGATCAAGTCCATCATTCCAATAAATACGATCAAGCACCTGTAGATCTCCACCTACAAGCCAGTTCCCTTGCTCCATAACCATCTAAGAAAAGAAAGGAAAGTCCTTGTTAGGATGGGTTGTCAGCTTCTCCTGGGCATCTAGAGATTGTAATGGGGGCAAATCTTTACCAAGAGAAGAGTCCTGGGTCAATTTTATTTGTCAGTCTCAAGTCAAGCAGCAATAGTTTTTGGGGGTTTTTTTGGTTTTTTAATTAAAAAAAATCATCATTGGAACACAGTCCAGACATGTTATACCATGGTATAACAGGAGAGACACACAAATCTTCAGTAGGCATATGCCTTTCATTCAAAATAAAGGATTTTTTTAATACATAGAAATGCAAGCAGCTAGTATTCTTAACCAACATTATTACATGACAAAAAGATATAGTGGCTGGAAAGCCCAGTATAATAAGTACAATGAAGGTGCACTTCATAGCTGTTGGTCAAAGCAAATGCAGTTCCAGTATCATCCTGCAGTTTACAAGATTCTGGTCAGCAATAAAGTAACAAATAAAATAGTTCTGTAACTACTCACTTTAATTTATGAATAAAATCAGAATCTTTGAAGTAGGGTAGCTTTTGGATTTGTTTCACAGTAGCACTTTCCTAGGGCAACATATATTGTACACTCACTAGAATTCTTCTGATATCTTCAAATATCACCTCAGCCTTTATGAAAAAATAATTACAGCAAGCTGCTTAACATACTCTAGCAATGGCCGTAGAAATCACTCAGAAATAGTTAACTTCTGAGAGTTCATTTGCATTTGAAGATGGAACCACAAAAAACTTCCAAGATTCATACACATTTCTGATAATTTGTTAGCCTTATGTAATTTAAAGATGACAACAGATGTTGATGTATTACATACTAAACCCACAAGCCAAGATGTTAAAATTCAGTGTCAATTTTTCAATTTATTTTTGCTTTGAGATAAAGGACCTGCTGGAATTAAGTGATGCTTGACCAACCTTGTAGACTTTT